TTGGTTGATTGATTAGTTGATTGATTGATTGATCGGGTAGCCGATTAATTAGTCGTCTGACTGCCTGGTTGACTGATTGATTGATTGATTGGTTGATTGATTGGTTGGTTGGTTGGTTGATTAGTTGATTGATTGGTTGGTTAACTGATTGGTTGGTTGATTGATTGATTGAGTGATTGGGTAACCGATTAATTAGTCGATTGACTGATTGCCTTGTTGATTGATTGATTGCTTGATTGATCAATGATTTTTAATGTTTCGACGAACTTTCTGCGAATCATTACTCCACGAACATCATTTCCGCGGGGTGCGAGGTCTGTATCTGCCCTTAGCAGTGGGTTAGATGCAGACATCATGACCCCGCTTTGAATCCGGGGGCTAACCGTCCAACCCTCTTCCCCCCCGCCCTCCTTCCCCCCCCCTCCCTCTCGGCGGCCTCGCTTCGACCTTGTTTAAGTGCATGACAAGATATCAGTCTGTTCATCATCATCATCATCATCATCATCATCATCGTCGTCGTCGTCGTCCTCCTCGTTGTCATCATCATCATCAACATTATCCATCATCATCGTCGTGATGATCAGCATCATCATCAATCAGCGCGATATCATCGTCATCATCACATCTTCTCATCGCTATCGTCATCGTCTCTGTATTCCCACGTAACAGCACAATCAGCATCCTCTTCTTTTTCATCATCATCATCATCATCCTCATCATCCTCATCATCATCGTCGTTATCATCCTCATCATCCTCATCATCATTAATATTGTGAGCATCATCATCATCATCATCGCGTCTTCATTGATGTCATCATCGTCATCACGCTTTACTCTCTCATTCTTTTCTTTCTTTCTTTTTTTTTTTTTTTTTTTTTTTTTTTTTTTTTTTTTTTTTTTTTTTTTGGTTTTGTTTCGTCCTTATCATTCTCATCCTCCTCCTCAGTCTCACCATCGTCATAAAGGAACTTTTTTGCCGTTTTTTTTCCCTTTTTTTTTTTTTTAAAGACATTATAGAAGGGAATTTAGAAACGATGATCGCGCTATGGTAGTGGCTTTGAGTCAAAGTCAAATTTACGAGTTGACGTCAGTTTTTTTGTTAAGGACGAAAAAGTCAAAACGTCGAATTTCTTAAGAAATTTCAGAAAAAGCTTTCAAAGTCAAATTCCAACCCTTCCGTAGATTTCTGCTGAAATTTCACAAATTCTTTCTTTTTGTTTTTATTATAAATTTTATTTATAATTTTACATGTAAAACGGCAACGGCCTTGAGAGATATTCTCGTTCAACTGACGGACCCCTTTTATTCGAATACAACGCCTGTTATGTTTCGATAATGCAGACTTAATTTTTTTTGGTGTGCTCATCTATGATTACATCTGGAATCGAACGCACGTCTTTTTTTTTTTTTTTTTTTTTTTGAATTTATCCAACCCCTTTATATACTACGTCTGTACTTCAATAGTTCATATGGGTGTACCAACTGAGGTAAGGCCCATCATTAAAAAAAACAATTTTTTTAATTTTTATTTTTTTCGAGTTTTTAAATTCGCCGAAAAACTCTTTTTCTTATTTCGATGACTTCAATGGATATGCGTTCGATTCGAAGTTTTCAGTTTTTATTACTTTTTTTTAATTTATCCCTGAAACTGAACCACAGTAGACGAGAGAGAAAGATCTAAAACAAGAGAGATCTGGTGGCCTGGTCCCACTAGCCGTCTTCCCCCGAACATAACGCATATATGCGTTGTATTCGGGATTCGAGTTTCTCCAACGAAAAAAAATAAAATAAAAAATTCGAATGGAACNGCGTTGTATTCGGGATTCGAGTTTCTCCAACGAAAAAAAATAAAATAAAAAATTCGAATGGAACGCATGTTCGTTGTATTCGAACAGACTAGGAGGGAGGGCGAGTTTCTCCAACGAAAAAAATAAAAATAAAATATTCGAATGGAACGCATGCTCGTTGTATTCGAACAGACCAGGAGGCCGGGCTGTTCGAATAGAACGGGCATGCGTTATATTCAAATGGAAACCAGCCTATGCGGTGCACTCGTTTACAACCCAACAGCGTTATGTTCGGGGTAAGACAGTAGCCCTGTACCCTGGTCCCATTAGCGAAGAGGATTGGATTTAATTCCGGTATCAGGACGTGTTTGTGAAGAGATGCTGAAAGTTGCAATTGATCTGCTTTTCTGCATGTCTGCTGAAAACACATCCAGATTCAGAAGTTAAATCCAATCCTTTTTGCTAATGGTACCAGGCCCCTGGTTTTACGTTTGAAGTTGTGCGACTGTGGTCCTTCTGGCTCAGGCGCTGCACACTGGAAATGGAAATGGAAATGGACAGTTCCTCCCCTAAATAAATAAATAAGTAAATAAATAAATAAATAAATAAATAAATGAATAAATAATTTTCAAATGGAAAGTTTTTCGAAATGCCCCTGAAAGTTGCAATTGTTTGCGAAATACCGCCTGCGACGGCTCTACTTATCCTGATTTGGCCCTGGGGCCTCAGAACTTTCCTACAGGCCCCTGCCAGTGAGGGGCACAACTTTTTGGGATGCCCTTATGGGACCACGGGTCCCATTTCACGGGTCCCTGCCTGATATGCCCTCATGACGGGCATGCATCTTTGCATCATGCCCTCGCGTGGGGAAGTCGAATTTGGAGTACGCGCTTATGGGACCATGGGTCCCATTTCACGGGTTCCTGCCTGATATGCCCTCATGACGGGCATGCATCTTTGCATCATGCCCTCGCGTGGGGAAG